TTATTATTATTATTATATAAAAAAGTTACAAGAATATAAATCCATTTTTATCATAGGGTTTGAGTATAGAAGATAGAAGTGACCGACTTGTTTTACATAAGTTGATTAGGGACATTAACAATTACCTTCACTTGCACACAATTCGATTTTCAAATACATGTCTTAATAACATTTAATGAAACGTATTCGCTTATTGCAACAAAACAATACAATCACCCGTATGACCAATCGTCAAAGGTTAAAACGCCAATTTAAGTAATTTGCAACATTCTCTTTGTGGTTTATCAATGAAAGATAGGTAGCTCATCGTGACTTTGTCCACGTTGAATGTGAAACAAGTGTCAATTTATGTCATAAGTGATGTTATATTCTCATTATATATAAAAAAGGGTGCGTGTACTTATGTACGCGCGTAAGGAGTTATACTTCTTTGTCATTATTAAAAATAGTTTTTGATTGCATGCAAATAATTAATTACAATTAAATAATCAAAGACTGGAAAAGGAGTCATTATAGTCAATAAAGTTTAGTTTACATTTTTTTTTAGATTAGACAATTCACACCAATTGACCTAGTCCCATGCTAAGCTGGTGAAGCTTGTGTTATGGGTACTAGGCAACGGATATACATACATATTTTAGATAGACATATAAATACATATTTAAACACCCAAGACCTAAGCACAACACCAAATGCTCATCACATCAATGTTTGTCTCAGCCGGGGATCGAACCCGGGACCCATGGATCCGCAGTCAGGGGTACTAACCACTAGACCAATGAGCCGTCGAAATTTGAAAAATTAAATAAATAAATATTTATTATTATTCTCTTACATTAAGTGTAACTTAAATTCTATTATTATTCGAATGTGGTTTTTAAATTATGTCCAATACCGTAGCATCTTCCGTGGGCAACTTCATTCTGTTAATTTTGTGTAACGGTGCGCGCGCATCGTAAAATTTCACTCTCATCAATTTTTTATAACGCGCCATAAGAAGTATAACTTCAAAAAATATGGCTATATAGGCTCACCTGATGTTCAGTGATACCCATGGACACTCAATATCAAAGGGCTTGCGTCGCCGGCCTTTTAAGAATTCGTACGCTCATTTCAATTTTAACTTGAACAAATTTTTTCACGTATACCCGCGTGAGACCGTTGACTGACACGAAATTTATCAAATTATTAATGTAACATTATACGAGTACAAAGCTTTATTATCAGACCAATAATAGATACTAAAATCTATAATTTTTATTTTTATTTTATTTTTTATTTTTACTGTACTTATTTTAAGGAATAGATAATAAAAGACTTACCGCCGTATGGACACTCACATTGCGAGAAGACCCACAAATGCGTTGCCGCCTTTTTAAGAATTGGTACGCTCATTTCTTGAAGGACCCTAAGTCGAATTGGTTCTGAAATACTTCGTGGCCAGCTGGTTCCACATAGTGGTGGTGCGCGGCAAGAACTGCCTTAAAAGACGCTCAGTTGTGGAACAACGGACGTCGAGGTGATATGAGTGGAATTTCGTATTCCGCGGACGTCCGATGACGAAACGCAGCTGCACGTTTTAATCCGTACAAGTCCTCTGAACACTCTCCGTGGTAAACGCTCTTACTTTGCAATTGATCGTCGTTCGATACGTAAATTGAATTGATTGTTTTATTCTCATTATTATTATTAACAGTATTTTTTTACCATAGTTCATGAATAGACACCATTTTGCGTCTGTTACACTGCTATTTTTCCATAGGTTATTACTCATTTCTATAAATGTCTTCTCTTTTAACTAAAATACTATTCAGCCAACCCTATAATGAATAGGTACACAAAGAGATAAGTTAAAACGGTTTAACAGGACGGTTTTTGTTCTTATATAAGCCCGCCTTTTAAAATTGGTTCCGTCTTCCTCTCAGACTACTCTTATGTCAGTTTAATAAATTCTCAATTTTTTTTTTTTTAAAGACAATTCACACAAATTGACCTCGTCCCATGCTAAGCTGGTGAAGCTTGTGTTATGGGTACTAGGCAACGGATATACATACATATTATAGACAGATAGATCTAACATATCTAAAAACATATTTAAACACCCAAGACCTAAACACAACACCAAATGCTCATCACATCGATTTTGTCTCAGCCGGGGATCGAACCCGGGACTCATGGATTCGCAGTCAGGGGTACTAACCACTAGACCAATGAGTCGTCGTTTTATGTTTATACATTTTACACTTGCAGTTATTTTGCAATCAATAATAACGTCAAATTTAAATTTATTTAAAAACCTTCGTTTTGATCATTACTCTTCTGCCTCGTAATTAGCTACTACTTTATTATTATTTATATTTTTTCTTTAGATTTTACTTTATTTAATTTTAGTTATAGTTCATGTTATTTTGAGGTTTTTTTTGGTTAATTAATTTTGCACTTGTACTTTATTTACCCTCTGTAGGTGTTTATTTTTTTAGTGTTCCATATTAGGGTTGCCTGTAAGAAATCGCTTGTTAGCGATAAGGCCGCCCGTTGCCTAATAACTTATGTAACCTGATTATCTTTTTTAAAGACAATTCACACCAATTGACCTAGTCCCATGCTAAGCTGGCGAAGCTTGTGTTATGGGTACTAGGCAACGGATATACATACATATTATAGATAGATAGACATATAAATACATATTTAAACACCCAAGACCTAAGCACAACACCAAATGCTCGTCACATCGATGTTCGTCTCAGCCGGGGATCGAACCCGGGACCCATGGATTCGCAGTCAGGGGTAGTAACCACTAGACCAATGAGTCGTCAAAGTTTTTGTTTTTTATATATATGATTTTGTATATTATGGTAACGAAGTCTAAATAAATAAATAAAACTTCTAGATAACTTAATTATACATTTAATATGAATTGTATTCTACCAAAGGCAATGTGTGTGGACTCGCGAAGAGAGGTAACGTCTGTAAGGTAGCGTCACTAATCACAGAGAGTCGCCGGCACTTTAAGTCTTGACTTCTTTTCTACTAACGTAAATATTTCAACAATACTTCCCACAATAAAGAGTACCTGTTTCTTAAAGTGACTGAATTAGTTTAGGAAATCGCATTATTTTATTCACGAACTGTTTAAATTTGGACAAAGCTAAAAATATTTTAATTAATTTATAATTCTACTAAGCGTTAATCGATGAGTCTAGACGTAAACATTAAAGCTTTATAATCTGGAAGAGAATTCTTAGAACATATTTAATATAATATTAGCTATACGGTTCCTAAGAACGAAATCTGTTAAGAAGTTCATATGTAATATGTGTATTACGTCTCACATGACAAAGTTTATACATAGTCGTTTACGCTAAAAGATTTAAATAGTAATTTGATATAATATATGCAGTATAAAAAGCAGTGTTGGCCTAGTGTCTTTAGCGTACGACTCTTATCCCTGAGGTCGTAGGTTCGACTCCCGGCTATAAATGGACTTTTTTTCAATGTGCGCATTTAAAATTAGCTCGAACGGTAAAAGTGAAAAAACCGGCTTGCCTTAGACCCAAAAAGTCGACGGTGTGTGTCAGGCACAGGAGGCTGTTCTTTTCTATTAGATTGACAAATGATCATGAAAAAGATACAGAAATCTGAAGCCCAGACCTGAAAAGGTTGTAGCGCCACTATACTCTTTAATTTGTTTATGCAGTATAATGTCAGTCGCGAAAAAATATAGGGTAGTAGCAATTTAAAATGTTTATAACGATCTCTTTAAGTACAATTTGTGTCCCTAGCTGATCATGAATACTGGATACCTCTCAAAACGTCAAGTTAGTTAAATAATTTAATCCATTCTCATCTGTTTCATATGTTTTATTTTAGTTGAACATGGGCCCAATTACAAATGCAGGGACTTCTTCATAACTAAGCAATCGCCTATTTTTTGACACCTTTAATAGAACAAATTTTTCTTCTCAAGTTACTCATTACATACTGCCTATGAATTAGTCTTTATTAATAAAGATTACGTAATAGTATATACTTTCTTAATCGTAATTGTATATTAGTTTAATATAGACTACAAGTCATAATAATTACATAAAGCAGCAACAAAAGCGTAGATAATTGATGTTTCGAAATTCATATTAATAGTTCTCGAGTATAGTAGGCAGTCTAAATAGAAAGGCGTGGTACTTTATTCGCTTGAATTAATAATAACCTCTATTAGCGTTAAGGTGATCCAGTTTGTGCAAGTATTGTAGAATGCGGACAACGCCTTGGGAGCGAAACAGGAAGTAATATTTTAATACAAAAACTTCCAAACTACATGATCGTAATAATATAATTACAGGAATGCGGAATGTCTTAATTAAACTAATTTATTTTTTAATATATTACCGAAATAATTAATGATATACAAAGCTATAATGTAGGAGATATAGTTGGATGACATAATAGGGGGCTGTGAAGTAATTGTTATGTCTGTTTTTCTCTTTTTGTGGCGTCTTATTGTCACAGCGAACCTGGTGTTTCCTCTTAAAAATTTGTTACTCAGGTAAAAATCGGTAATTACTTCAAATATTTTCTACAACCGTAGAGTTTTCTAATATAGACATGAACAATGTACTTATTGCGTGGTATATAGAACTGGGGCGTTAGACGTAATTTATAAATAAAGTGATGCAATACGAGATTATATCTTTATTATAACGTGGACTAGGTCAGATACTTGCGTCCAACTTTAAGCGATTAACCGGAGCATTACGCAAAGAACAGTAAATTAAATATTTACCGCAGCACATAACAGTAAATTCATTAGCTAGGAATTCATTTAAATATATTTTCAGTATAGCTACAGTTATTTACAAATTTTCATAAAGCATTTCGATGGAACGTTCAACAACAACAATAGATTGTCCATCACACTATCACAACAAACAACAATTAAGAAATGCTTGGGGGGAATGTTGATCTTTTTCCACCTCTCCTTGCCGAGGATATGCCAATTATATTTAAACTTTGTGGAATGAGTAAGTGTAGCCGTCAGGTGCTCTGTTCAGACTGAACTTGCCCGGAGGAAAGAATCTAGTTGGAGTGGGAGTTGTGGGCTCATAGTACTGTTCTCTTTGTTGAGGTGCGTTGTACTGCTGCGATTGAACACCGCTGTACTGAGCCTGCCGTGTGCCAGGGTATATGTTGTTCACTGGGTACTGAGATTGAGGTTGAGATTGAGGCTGGTATTGAGGCTCTGCTTGATACTGTTGTGGCTGGGGCTGGTACTGTTGTGGCTGGTACTGTTGCTGGGGCGCGGCGTCGTTTCCTTGTTCGTATAACTCAGGGTGGTACTGACCGTCATCAACACTTGGTTGTGCGTTGTAGCTGCGGGGGGCTGAGTATTTCTTAGGCGCTGAGTACTGTTGAGGAGCACTGTATTGGTTAGATTGGTATTCAGGTGCCTGGTAACGAGGGTCTGGGGTGTATCCAGGTGTAGGTGCCGCTCCTAATGGGGCAGTTGGGATGTGGTCGCCGACAGCTTGGAAACCGTTCTTGCCGGCTATGTAGTTCACCGTCTTCTTTTGTCCAGTGGGGTCGATGTAGGAGTAACTGCCTCTACGGTTGCCATCAGCGTCAGTTTCTTCTTTGAAGTTAATTCCATCTTCCTGTTGGTATGCTGAGCCGAAAGCACCGTTTCCACTGAGATACCGCGCTTCTTGAACAATGGCGGCGGTTCTCGGATCACCAGCGTACTTGGGAACGCGTTTGGCGCCTTCTTGTTGCTGACACGCGACCGTCGCGATAACAAAGACAAATATGAGCCTGTACATTTTTGCTCAAAATGTGCACTGCTCGCGTGAAAGTAACAGATTGTGCGTGGCGGGCGGGTCGCAGGTTTTATATGAACAGTTTAGGCCTTGAAGTATATTGGAAGGGTCCGAGTGCTGACCGCGAAAACGTATCATTCACATTGCGAATATTGCGGTAACGACGGATGCCTGGACGTAATTAACTAGGAAGTGACATTAAGTTGAGGATTACGGATCGTCCTTTCAATTGCCTTTTTAACTTGATTTAAATGTCAAGTTGTGCGTGCGAAGTCAACGTAATAAAATTTATTTATAAAAACACTCCTGCCCTAACATGTCTCTAAATTGACAACAGTGCACAATAAGTGAATAAAATTTACAGACGAAACAAAAAGACAAACATAAGAAATTTATTAGGAAAAAAAATTACATAATAAAAAATACAAGAAATTAACTAACTACTACAGATATAACAAATATAACTTTTGTCAGTTCACTCGACGGACAATGAAAAAGGTCCGTTAACCTATGTAATTCGTTAACTAAATGAATACACCGAATCATATGTCCCTTTTTCAGAAGGTTAGTCCTAGCTGAATGACATTACATAGTTATAGGGAATTATATAGTTATTTATACATTGAATGAATCAGTGTACATATGTATAAAATATTTGATCTTTATATTAAAAACATAAAAGATTTGTAATATTGCTATGGTAAGAGGTAAGATGTTGTCTGGTTAGCTAATTACGTAATAACTTAAGACAGAAGGTCCCTTAAATAGGGATAGAACTGGGAATAGGGAATAGACTGAACAAATTGACCGACTTGGTATTACATGGAGCTCACAACTTTTTACGGTTGAAGAACTGCGTTCCGAGAATTGTTTTTTTAACAAATTATGTTTTTTATTGCTGACACCCAGTATAATATATATAAATAACTTATTTAAGTTACATAACCAAACTTAATCTAATACATCATATGAGCCAGTTTTGGTAATCGGCGTGTCCTGTGACACATAGACTTCTTCCAGCTGCTTCCATTCTTTTTTAATGTTAGCTTTTCTTGTACTGTTGTCTCCTTGTACCTTCTATTCTCTTTATATCGTCTGCCCATCTCTCGCTCTGTATTCCTCTTTTCCTTTTCCAATTCTCGTTGTTAACATTCTATAATAATTTTTGTCTATTTTAATCTCATATCTCTCGTCATGCGCCCGGTCCAACGCCATTTCAATTGCCTTATTTTCCTTATAATATCCTCTACTTTGGCCGTTGATCTTATTTCTTCTGCTCTTTTTCCATTCCTCTTTGGCATGTTCTGAACTTTAAAAGATGTTTCTGTGATAATGCCCAAGTCTGGCAGCCATATCTGACACATGGTCAGATACATTTTAGAAAGCTTAGTAATATACTTTTAATTTATATATGTTTCAAGATGTATTTAATATATATTTTACACTAATTTAAAGTAAATTGCCAAGGTCTTCTGAATACAATATTATGTAAGTAACAATTTGTATAAACTAGGTTATATCATAGAAACTATCACAGTTATTAAATTCAGAGCTATTCACTATCCACAGAATATGAATAGATTGAACTGAATGGGTTTTCGTATCAATAGCTAAGGCTAGCGATATTTTTATGAAATATATGAAAACGTTTCATACGCCAAACTAATTAGGTGAATGTTAATTAAAAATGCGATTGGCTTTTTAAAACTTGTAGAATTTTGAAACAACTGACGCCTTAAAAGTATAGGTTGTGTGCGAATCTCAATCTGCCTTGCGATTCTGTAACTCACTTTTCGAACTCACACAGCGGTTTTCGCATCGGCGATCGCTCTCAAATCAGTCGTGAAGCAGTCATTTTATGATTTGGCATCCTGAAAAGGTGGGAGCTTGTAGTTAATTGTTTATCAGAATGCCAAATCATAAAATGACTGCTTCACGACTGATTTGAGAGCGATCGCCGATGCGAAAACCGCTGTGTGAGTTCGAAAAGTGAGTTACAGAATCGCAAGGCTGAGGTCGCGTGTTTGAACCCCAACCGTTCCGTTCAGCTATGAATTTTAACTTCTATAATCAGTATTTGCTCGTGGGTACCCATCACCAAGATTAGAATCATAAATTATGGTTGGGATTCAATTTTTTTAATGGGACAGGAAATATCGTTGAATAAAGTGTTAACCGCCGCCTATGGACACTTGCAACCCGGGTGCTAGCTGGTTCCACAGAGGTGGTGTGCGGAAAGTGTTTTAAAAAGCACTGCGTTGTGGAACGTCGAGGTGGAAAGGATGGAATTTTAAGAAGCAAGTTCCCTAAAGAAAAATCTCAGAAGTCCGTGGGCGGCAGTAAGCACAAAATGTGTGAAAAAAAATTAAGTGTCCTGTCCCATAAAAAAATAGAAAGGTTGTAGCGCCTATGGTTGTCTGTTGACATCAAATCTAATACATTTATAAAATTCTCGTGTCACAATGTTCGTTCCCATACTCCTCCGAAACGGCTCGACCGATTCTTATGATTTTTTTTAGTCATATTCAGTAAGCCTGATAATCGGCTACTATCCATCTTTCAACCCCTGAGTGATAAGGGATATCCACCCCAAAAAATGTATTTTTATTTTTTAGACAAAAAATTTTGTTTTTATTTTTTTATGAAACAACATACAAAAATACATACAATCCTTAACTTTCACCCCTCTACGATCAACCCCTATTTTTTATTTGCTAATTAAAATCTTATGACTTGAACTCTGAGGTTTATAGAGAAAAATTCACAGAAAACCCTAAAAAGTTTACATACCAGAAAACTCCAGTCTCTGGGGTAGCAAAGCAAAATGTTCCATGTTGGTATGTACTAAAAAGGTTTTTTTTTTTTTTAGTTTTTATGATTGGACAATTCACACCAATTGACCTAGTCCCATGCTAAGCTGGTGAAGCTTGTGTTATGGGTACTAGGCAACGGATATACATACATACTATAGATAGATAGACACAACAACAAATGCTCATCACATCGATGTTTGTCTCAGCCGGGGATCGAACCCGGGACCCATGGATTCGCAGTCAGGGGTACTAACCACTAGACCAATGAGTCGTCTATTAAAAAGGTAGGCTAAGTAAAATCACATTAAGGAGAAACGAAGTTCGCGGGGCAGCTAGTAATCTATAATAATTTACGCTATAATTCCCGATTATTAGAAACGAAGGGGTCATATTTTTCTATGAGCTAGTCCTTACTTAGGGTATCTGTGAGAAATATAATTGTAATACGCAAGAGTGGTTAATAGAGCATGTAGCCATAACTAATATTGGTATAAGTACAGAATAACAATGTGACTCACACGGTCTACAAATTTAAGGTAAGAATTTCTAGTTTTAAAGTATTCTTTGTTCTTGTTTCGCAATAATTAGTTGAATTATTGCAATATACTACGTGCTTATTAACTAGTAATTAAGATGCCCACTGAAGTATCTCCGAACTAACTCGACTTATGGTTCTTCAAGGAAAGAGCTTACCAATTCTTAAGAGGCCAGCAACGCACTCGTGAGCCCTCTGGCATTGGGAGTGCCTATGGGCGGCGGTATCACTTAACATCAGATGAGCCTTCTGCCTGCCAGGGGGCCACCCCTGTTCTATAAAAAAAGATCAAATCACTGATAAATTCAAAGTTTTTTTACCCTGTAGTTCCTTCGTTAGACATTTACAATGTTTGTTACCTCGGGTTCTTGCCAGGGGAATGAATTTGTTTATGTTCGTTCTATGAACTCAGAACTGAGTTGCTTTAAAAAATGTTGCAATGTTAGAAGTCTTTAGCTATAAGTTAAAATTTGATATAGGAATATTGAATAAATTAAAAAAAAATACCAACTATTAGCTACACTTTCAAATGCGCACACGCCCATTCACACATCCACACATACTTAATGTCTTATAAGACTTGTGTTTGATTAGTTGTAACACCTTTCTTTTTCTCAAAAAACTGTTTTAAACATGTACCATGTGCCACAGACTAATTGTTATTTAGTTACCCACAACACAGGGACTCCCTAGTGTGGGGACATGTTTGAATTTTATTATTATATGTAAGACGAGATTTGACCAGGTTATGAATTACAAGGCCAGACCTAAAACCACTTATTCACGCTAAACACCCCCGTAGTGAATGTTCATGCGTCATTTATTCGCTGTTTATATAAAATTTGTCCTTGATACATAAGTTATTGACCTGTTTTAAAAGTTATATTGGCTTTTGCGATCGTTTAGTACCCTGTTACTAATAGTGATTCCTACGTGTATATGTAACTTTTGATTAACGGCCCGTAGAGTTGGTATCACAAATTTGAGTTACAAAAATTCCAGAAGTCGGCAACGTTCTTGTCACTGCGAGTTACTATAAGTATTTTAAAAATAATTTTACGCATTACATAAAAATCTGGAGTCACGGATAAAAACAAATGTTTTGTTTCACGAAAAGAAGGTTTGGTACTAGTCTATAGTCAAAAGAAATGTATTAGTGCAATTTGTGAAGCAAACTGTTTTGATAGTTGCGTACCTTTATTTAAGAAGCTCATTTTATTTTCCATGTATTTATATTAGAAATATCCTTATTTGTGCACAGAAACATACATATTTTTAAGTCGAATGTAGAAGTCGTAGTAAAAAGCAGACATGGGGGTAAATTGGCTGTGCCAGAAATCAATCCGGAACTGTTTAGGAAAAACACCTTTTGTATGGCAATTAAGGTTTACAATAAATTACCAAAAGAATTAAAAGATCTTCGGTAAATATTCCGTATCGCGCCACCAGCGATTTTGAGGCTGATTTCTTTTTATGACTTCGTCATGAGTTCTCAGCACCATAACTAGTGTTGTTATGATGGCGCATGACCTTTTTTTCCAAAAAAAATAATCAATAAGTACCCAAAACCGTATCAGAGCACCCCACTATCCATATTTTCACCCCACATATTTTTTTTTAAATAAATTAAATTTTTTTTTTCATGCGCCAACATA